GGCGTTGAAGCTCGCTTGAGCTCGTTATTATTATTATTTCTCTGACCATCTAATTTTGTGCACGCGATTTCTCGAAGACTACTGGATGGATTTTTATGAAATTTGCAGAAACAATGTGTTGTAATCTGAGGTTATTTTATCCGAGAGAGTTTTTGGAAATTCCTTTCTGGTGCCAAGTTACGGACAATTTTCTGATTTTAAAATGATATTTTGTTTGCGGATAATCTCAAGAACGGTAAAAGATATCACTGTGAAACTTTCAGGAATTAAAGACCTTGATAAGTACTATCCAAGATGCTATCTTTTGTACGTCGTCTCTACTTCCTGTCGTAACGGCATGCAAATTATAAAGTCGAATTTTAAAACTTTTTTGTTTTTCAATATTTACAAATTATATTAATATGGTTGATAGAAAAATTTATTATTAGGCTGAATATATAATTTGTTTGTAAATTGATAAATTCAAACTCGATATATTAACATTCAAAAATCTGAAGCGGGACCAAAATGGCGACGGTCTCTGTCAATTCCGACATTTCGCAATAGGGGTTTACAGAGGCAGCCGAGCGTTTGCTCGAACGAAAGTTACATAAGGAGCAATGAAATGTGTAGGGATACTTGGATTGTCACGTCGTAGGTTCGTTGCAATTCTATGTCAAAGTACATTTAGAATCCAAGGTCTCCTTACAAGTCTTCTTTAATTGGCTTTGGTTGTTTCTCAAAGTAGAAACAGAAGAGAATTAATGTGCAAATTAAGTACAATATCTACTATTTTTTGTTTTGCATCACGGAAACACATAGCTTAAATCATAGTTATAATTAATAGTTTTTCAAGAAACAATATACATAGTAAGTACAAAACGTGACTACTGTTTTCCCATGCACACTTGTGTCATATTAAATTAATAGAAAGGACAACTGTTACAATAAGAAAACATTTTTCAAAAGATAACTATTTTTCAAAGACCGTTTAATTGACCTTTATAAACATTTTTTTTTTCTCAATGCAAGTAATTGAACAAAATGGAATCTTATTCCTTGACCCTCGTAGGGTGATCGAGGCATTTTTTTTTTTTGGTGAAACATACAACCTTTTTTATGAAAGTGTTAGTAATCGGAATGGTCCACTTTCGTGATTAAGAGGAAAATTAAAAATTAACCATTCATAGCTGTTTCACTGTGTTATTTGCCTATATACGATATGTTATATGTATGTGTTAAATTTACTTTCCACACCTCAAAATTCAGGCGATAAGAACGCTCTTTTGTTATTTGATTGAAGCTATCTCACCTATTTAAATGAACATTCCAAGGGAAAGGCGCTAAGATTTACTCGTAGCGTTCGGCGCGAAATTATGAATAATGACCCTTCTTTCATAATTCCAAGACATATTAACTGTTGCAGAATTATATGTACATACAAGTGAAGTAAGAGTAGTTGTTCAAATAGCGTAATCGATAAGCGTATTGGATTTTCACGCTAGTGACCCGTTTCAATTACCAGTGTGTCCAAAACATGTTTAATCCATTTTCAGCTCGATTTTATGGTTATTTTTCGGAAACGAGATCGTTTCTAGTTTTTATTCTATTTCATTTGAAATGACTTCCCCCTTTACCGGAAGTAAGCTTTTTATTCACGGAAGTACACTAAAGAATTTTAAATTTCGACATATTCATGATATTTAACATTATAGCTTTACTAAACATGACAGGTAATTCAGCGTTGTCTAGATTTTGAATTAGTAATAAAAGATGATTTCATAAGCTGAGAAAATTCGGTCATTGCATTTGAGAATCTAGGCTTACTTTCTTCGTTTCCTTAGTATTTAACTTTTATTATTTGGTGTTTAAAAATGGGTTTATTGCATTTTTCGTCTACATAGTACATATATCATTCTGGGTAAATCATGTTCAGTCTTTTTCTTATATTTTTCCAGAGACTTTACTTCCTGTTTCGCTTTCGTTTTAAAGGGGAGAATTACTTATTTTATTTTAAGGATAACTGGAAAAGAAATATCTTTTCTATGAAAAGAGACATCTCTTTACTTAGAAATATATCTCTTTTTGAAAATCAAAAGAGATATGTCTTTAACTAAGAAAGATATCTCTTTTGACCTTTCTAAGAGATATCTCTCTAACTTTAAGAGATATCTCTCTCGCTTAGAGAGATATCTCTCTCGTTGAAAGAGATATCTCTCTTGCTTGAAGAGATATCTCTCTAAGTAATAGAGATATTTATCTTACAAAAAGAGATATCTCTCTAAGGTATAAAGATATCTCTTTAAGGTATAAAGATATCTTTATAAGTCAAAGAGATATCTCTATAAGTCAAAGAGATATCTCTTTAAGCTAAAGTGATATCTCTCTATGCTAGAGAGAAATCTATGTTATTGAAAGATTTTTTTTTAATTTCACGAATAAATTGTAAATGAACTTGATATAGGTATGTGCTAGGACTTTAGATATCGAAGTAATGGTGTGATAGACTAAGAGTTCATTTGTCTTTGCAAAGTTAGTGTCTAAGAAAATCGCAGAAGAAAGGGGATGTTACAGCAACCATTTGTCAGGTGTCTGGTCTAAAAGGTTTGGAAAAAGGAAATTTCTTTTAATGAATTTATAGAAATCTTCGATCTCTTATTCACTCAGATGTTAATTTTTGACCGTTTTTGGTTATTTCTTTATATCATTATAAGAATGTTTTCGATGTGTATGGTATTTCCCGTATATACAGGAAAAAGTATAGTACGTTATGTAAGGTAGTTAATTCTAAAGCAGAATGCATACATATACTAAGAACTAAGGGCATTGATTTTATATAATTAAATTACATTGCTTTTCTTGCTTCTATGCTATGTTTTTGTATTTGTAAAAATTGTAACCCTGTCTAAACCTAACCCGTAAAAAAATTTGGTTAAAAGTGCTAATTTCGGGGGCCTCCCTACAAGTTTATGGTTACCAGAAACATATCATGCCATTTTCGGAATAAAACGATAAAAACACCTCAAAATATAAACATAAATTTATGCTCCTCAATGAATTACCCTGGTAATATATATTCATTAGGATTCTGCAAGCCAAAAAAAATCCAAACCAGATACATTGATTATGATGCTACTATTAAGATATGCAATCAATTATATGTTGGAAAGGAGTAAAATACATTTTAAAAAACCCCTCCTTACATTTGAAAGTATAAAAAATATCGGATCGAGACACAGATATAAGGTTTTATTATATAAAAAAGTAGGGGGACAAATTTTTATGGGGGTCATTTTTCAACGTGTGTGGAGTCGTAGAATTCCTGGTCTGGACTGTTTTTCTACGGTCGAAAAATTACGGAAGCGTATTAGGGCCGCAGCAGTATCTTTTTTTAATTTGTTTAAACAAATTAATAATTTGTTTAAACAAATTAGTAATTTGTTATAACAAATTATTAATTTGTTTAAACAAATTAGTAATTTGTTATAACAAATTAATAATTTGTTATAACAAATTACTAATTTGTTATAATAGATTACTAATTTGTTATAACAGATTAATAATTTACTTTACTTTTTAAATCAGCCTTTTTATTGATTATAGTTTATTTACAGATAAAAGCTATGATTTTTTTTTATTCATTTTAAATAGCGAGAACTAGGGTGTCAATCCAGCTATTAACACTATTACATTGTTGAAGCGTTACGTCAAATTTCCCATAGCTCTTCGAAAGCGTAACGTCAAACATCACCAACATCGCGCACAACGCCTCTATAGATTCAATTGATAATCGGCAAAATGGGCATAAAGAAACAACATACAAAAAAAAATAGTGAAATATATATTCCAACTAAAACAAAACAACTATGAAAATACTTAGATAATGTGGATGTACATGTATTACATGTACATATTTTTTATTCAAAATATAAAGACAGATGAGAGATCGTGACTTGAACATACATCGATGGACTTCTTGGTTGGCTTTGAGACTGCTCATTTATTACCGTCTTCCTTGGAAGACGGTATTATATAGTTGAAGTTTTTTACAGTCTTCGGAGTATGCACTTCCTCTCTTTCGTGATTGGTAGAAATTGCATGATGAGAAAACTTTCAATTATTTCATTGGTTGAGATGCTTGGTTAACTTTCTGATGATCTAATTTTCGTACGACTTAACAATTTTGCAAGATTTGCAATCTTAAAAAAATGACAAAACGAACAACAAAATCAGCAGTAATTAAACTCTGAATAACATCATAATTTTTTTTAGCAATAACTAAAAAGGTCTTTAATTTCATTGTAAATAAAATTTGATTTTTATTGCTTGCGGGCTTTACAATTTGTTATTATTCTATTCCCCTTTCTTGTTTGAAAAAGTTAACGGAATCAGCCGAGGTTTGCCAAAAGCTCCTGGCCAGTTAAAGTTCACGGAGATGACCGAGCGACAACTGTGGTAGGGTAATGCCAGTAAAAAGCTAATGTAGAAATACAAAAATCAAGAAATTCAAAAGAATTATACGGCCTGATAAGTGCATGTAGATCAGTTTACTGTTTAAGGTTGTTGCTAAAGACGGTAAGCTTTTTTTAAAAAGCTCTACTTGTGTTCGTTTTGCAATCGTAATAAGCTAAACGCGTAAAAATATTAGATAGAAAAAAACGAGTTTGTTCAACACGAACTTAAATTGATTCGAATCGGATGTCTGTTTTCATGTTCAAAGTGTTCAGAAAAAGGTGGGAATCAGTTCAAATGAAAATAATGAGCAAAAGATACCTTAGTAAGCTTACTAGTATCAAATAATTGAAGTTATTTAGTAACTAAGGAAACCTTTTCACTATATTAAAGGAATAGGACTTATACGTAAAATTCAAATTAATGATTTTAAGAAGAGAGATTACCTGATTATTCCTGTTATATTTTCAAACTAGAGTTTACTAATACTATTATAGTTATTTGCGTTAGGGATGTAGATAGCTGATAGTATATTTTGTTTTGGATGTGTTAAAAGAACAATCTTTTAATTATGAATATATAAGGCTGTTCATGCTTATCAAACTATTTATTATGAATGTTTTGTCTAAGTTACTTTTAATCGAGGTGTCACCGTTTCTTGTTTCTTCCTGAGATGTGCTGTAATTTGATTCTGGAGATGGTATTTTCATGGGAAGAATCTCTAAAACAAACAAAAGTGAAATTTAAAATACTTTTTACTGGTGAAAACAATGGTAATAAGATCTCACAGAGACAAATAAAATGAGATGTTAACCTTTTGCTGCATCTGTAGAAGTGATTTTAATACATCCCATGACACGGTCACACGTGATATTATCACACTGACACTTGTTCTGACAAAGTGTACCATAGAAGGGATAGCCACACTGACGACTGCAATTTTCTCCGAAAAATCCTGCTGGACACTCTGAAAAAAAAAAAATTAACTCGTGTAAAAAAAGGCGACAGACAGACCTGGAGTTAGTTACCTTGAATTGCAATGTATGGTAGAAGTAAGTTACAATATTATCATGATTATTGCCGAGATCAAAGACATACAGCGGACATTATTCTCCAATCTTTCATTTTTATATATGTTATTATCTAAATAAAACTGATGAAATGAAAATGACGTTGACGAAACATATGGAGAATAGTATTTAAGATAAAAAGTCCATAAAACATCAAAATAGGAGCAGAGCAAACACGGACCTCCAAAACATCAGAGGTGGGATCAGGTGCCTTGGAGGAGTGTGAGCATCCCCTGCCGACCGGTCACACTCGCCGTGTGCTTATTGTCATGATCGGGAATTAACGGTAAAATCCGTCGACAAATCAATGTATAATTATGATTAACAATTAGTATTAAAAACATCAGTCAGCATTTAATGACTCAATGATAAATTTTATTTGCCGACAAGATCATTGTATCGACCATAAAACTTTTGAAATGATAACTTTAAACGAGACTGCTGATATTTTTGTTTCAATTGTTTGTAAATACTGTGGAATCATCATTGTTCGTAGGGGACCAGTGTTCGTGGATTTGGTGGGTAACCCTGACCCACGAATTTACATCCCCACGAATGTATATACAAACATGTATTTTATTATTTGTAAAAAGTTACGATTATACAGACTATTTTACATCGTAAAATAACTGTTACCCTAGTGTCCGTGTGATCAGAAGACAATCTGTATGTCGTTATTGACACAAAACCAAAATAATAAAAAGTATCAAAGACATCGATTACTATATATACATTAAGTAATAAAATAATTTATTATATGATCGAATAAATTCCATCTCTCTGATAGGCTGAGATCCTACTATGTTAGAAAAATATAACGTTGTATTGACCTGCACGTGACGTTCCAGGTCAATACAAGGATTTATTTCCTCTACATTGATCTAAAAATAGATTGGGAAATTCCAAATTGATACAAAATATTGGACTCCTCAGATGGCTAAATCATTGTATTGACCTAAAAACCAGCAATAATTGTATAAAATACATCTGTTATATTTAAGTAGTGCTTACATTACAGTCCAACACGCTCATCGTTGATGAGGTCAATTATCAGTGCGATTTTGAAGTAGTGCTAATTAGCTAATTAGCATGAATTGGTTTCAAGGTATATGTATTAAGGACAGATGATACAAACAAATTTTTTCTTTGAAAAAGATTTAATATCATGTCACAAGTTTAGAAAAGTGGATAATTCTTAGAATATTTTCTCCTAAGAACTGGAAAATGAAATAGACTTGGAAAATATTAGTAATATTTCAATGAAAAAACAAATATAGACAAATCACATTCGGTAAAGGTTTACAGGTGAAAACAAATTTCAGAATATGTTACCTTGGTGCTGAAAGTGTAATATAAACTTAAGAAAAATATACCAAGCCAGGTGAATTTTTTTTAGGAAAAGCTAAATTGTAAAAATCAGCCTATGTGATATTGCTTATTTTTTGTCATTTTGTAATTCCTCTTCACATCGGTGCCTCAATTAGCATATGAATTTATTCTAGAAAAAATACCTTCCTTGTTCTGTTCATAACAGGAAGGTCAGCTAGGTTTTATAATATTTTAAATATAACATGTAATCGCAATGAGGTACAATTTTCTCCTTTCACATAAATGTAGATTTCTATTAAATAAGGTGACCAGCCAAAGGAGAAAAATGTATCTCCTTGCGATTACATAGTTCAAGGGCATCAAAGAGTTGGGCGGGGCCAAAATTCAATGGGAATATTGCATGTAAACATGATAAACCTACCCAAATGAAAGATCTATATCTTCCAAATTAGGTTTTTATTTTTGGTAAAAATAGTATTCCATAAGGTTTCATGTATAAGTATTTAGTCACATGCAAAATTTTAAAGTGAAATTTAAATATTTAATTGTTTTATCAATTTACTTGGGATTGTATGTTCGTAATAATCTCTCAACTTCATTTTGAATACCGACTGAAAAATATTTATTTTAGTTTGAGTTTAAGAAGATACAAGTTTTAACCTACGTGTACTTGCGAATCTACACGTTGTGTACAACTTGTAGAATTACGCGGTATGCAAAACTGATGACGTAGATCGCATTAGATTAACGGATTTCTATAGCTACACGTAGACGTACATGGTCATCTGCTTAACCTCTCTATTACTTTTCAAATTAACAACAAGTATCAAACCCATCTTAACACATATATAGGTTGTGCGTCATTTTCATCGCCAATCTATCACAATTTGAAAGCTTTGGACAAAATTTAACCAAACCGGAAGTGACCTTGATCTTCATCTGAGGTCAAGGTTTTGCATCACACCATGTTAAAAGGGTGTTAAAAATTGTCCTAAAGCAATCATAGAAACATGAAAACAAACAAATTCAACTGTATGAACATGTTAAGAAATCGGTGCTCTTGGTAGTCTAATATCATCTGAAGCAGTCTGAATCATCCTTAAAGCGGTGCACTTACGTGTTAAACGCCCAGGGATATTGACCAAAAGGCCTCTGTGTGATGATGCACTGTCAAATCCCCGAATCTGAATACACTGAACACATTCGGGAATTTTATAAGGAATGTCAAAGCCCCCCTCCCCTTTCTACACCATTTCAACGGTTAGGTAAGATCTATACAGTAGGTGCGACAGCAGATGGACCAATCTCCTATTCAGGGGTACATGTAGTCCAAAGTAAAGGGTGTTTGCAGTAATTAGAGCAAGTGGAGGTCTTACTCCATAGAGATTATTTTATGTGAATTTTCATTTTAAGGGTACATCATTTCCTAATGACACTTTGCTTTAAAGCTTGACGAGATACTGAGTACTTACATGAAATTTTCGCAACATCGAACTGAAATATGCATTATTAACCATGAATTAAAGAAAATTATTAAAGAGAATTATGTGTTCAAAAAATGTTAGTTGAACATTTAAAAGTTTTGTTCAGTGTATAGTTGACAAAGAAGGTGGATAGGAACACTTTTAAATTTTTGTTTTCTGTTTGTTTGTTTGTTTGTTTTTTTTTTTTTTGGTTTTCTGTTTTCTGATTGTTTGTTTGTTTTTTTTTTTTGGTTCAGCCTCTAATGTTAGTGTTTCTTTTTGATTTTGGTTTTTTCTTCAAACGATATATACATATTTCATGCAGTATGTGTTTTGTAAAGAGATTTTGAATAAAGTAATGATAAATGCAATATGTATTAATAAATTTAAATGAATAATTAGTATTTTTAATGAAATGCACAAGCATATCAATAAAGATTTGTATTCAACACAATTAAGGGTGATAATTATCGGTATCTAAACTATCTATAGATATATGGTTTGAACTTACCACAGATATGCATAGCCTTGTTATGATACTACATATATTACATACCTCGACATTCTCCATTATATATATAGAAGTTTGTACAGCAGTTTAACCTGATGAAAACAATAAACATAAAAAAAAACATGTAGAGCTTTAATCAGTAATAAGGTTAGATAAGATCCTACTTTTAAATTATTGATACATTTCAAACTTATATGAAAGCGAACTTCTATACTTACCTTCCACTTTGATCAGGATGAGTGTTATTGCAATCTCCTTTTACTAGTGTATAAATACCCAGGCAGAGAGCAAAGAGTATAATGAAAGTATCATCCATATTCACTAATGTTCTAATATCTTAAAAATTAAATTCATGGGGAATTTTATCTAAAAATGGGAAAGTAAAGGAAACATCACAAACAAATGATAAATTATTTTCATAAAGATGTCCTTCCGTGTTTAATTATTATTCATGATGTACTATTTCATATTCAGGATGTCTGACAGATTTGCAGTACAACAACGCAATCGATATCATTACACAAACTACACTTCGCATAGTTACAGAAATGTATTGTAAAATAATATTTGTTTTAATTTTTCCTTAAGGGCAATTAAGCATGGTTATATATTCCTTTAAAAAGTGACATACTAGTTAATCGAACATCTACTGACTGTTAATTAAAAAAAAGAAAAGAATTTCCAGCAATTTTGAGCAATTTGAAAAAAAAATGATTATTTTTTAGAAAATATATGACATTTATGATAACTTTATGGGATGTCTAGGGAATAAAAATATCAGACACAGTTTAAAGTCAATTTAACCTATAGAAACGTGGGGTTATTTAAGTTTAAAATTGGTGAAAATTTCAATTTGAACGTAATTAACAAATATCATGTAAATCTACACTGTAAATCTACACTTAGTTTTGTATTTTTATTTTTTTAGCTCAGATACGCCATATATAGCTTTAAAATTCACTAATTCAAAAAAGAAACCCACGTTAATTTTTTTTAAAAATCAAAGTATTGATCCTTATAGTAGCACAAAGTTTTTACAATAGTAAAGGGATTTTACCATTGTGAAGCAAGGTGCTTTTACTTAAATTCAAATTGTAACACATTATACAGCTGTATTTATATCAATTATCTTGATAACTCATTTATTATGCCCCCATTCGAAGGGTTTGTTCCCCTTTTGCACACATTTAATTACAGGTAATTAAAAAATGTGTGAAAAGTGGGAATTTGACCAGGTGAGATGATTGCTTAATTGCTATAGTCTATACTATACTTAGCTTAGTAAGTATGTGAAAGATGAACTTATAGTGAAAAAAAGAAGAGAATAAATACAAAGTTAATGTATTTATCTGATGATCTTATCATAACATCTTTTCAAATTAATTTTTATTCATTATTTTCTTTATTATATGTTAATATCTTTAATTCATTTAGAATTATATCAAGATTGAAAAGTACATATTCTTTTTTTTTAAGAAATTGGACTTAATAATAAATAATATGAATCAAATAATAATTTATTCAATAAAATCAAATATTTTCCCATAAATATATAAAGAATTTTAATAAAATGCTTATAAAATTGTATTAAACCTCTTAAGAATACATTAAGCTAAAACAGGTATTCACAGGTAAATCCAGGTAAATCCAAACCAGAAATCAGACTATAATTGCTATCAAAACACACTTCACACCTATTGTTCTATACCTAATTACAAATGTGTGCAAAACGGGAACACACCATTCGAAGAACGGAGGACATAATTATTGCTTTGCTGCTGTCTATCGGTTAGTCTGTCGGTAGGTATGTCTGTCGGTCTGTCGGTCCACTTAGCTTCCGTTCATTTTCTTTATAACCGTTGCACATATTGAAATTAAATCTGGTATACAGATATATCAGAATAATATCTAGGTCAAAGTCTGTTTTGGGTATGATGGCGCCATTTTTCTTAGAGATATGTCCCTTGGACTTATAAAAATTCCAATTATGTGCAATTTCCGTTCATTTTATTTGCAAAGGTTGCACATACTGAAATGAAATTTAGTATAAAGATTGATCAGATGAATATCTAGGTCAAGTTCTGTTTGGGGTATCATCGCGCCATTTTGACAAAGTTATGCCCTTTTGGACTTAGAAAAATTCCAATTTTGGGGGGAGGGGGCATAAGTGTTTTACAAACATGTCTTGTTTATAGATATTTTTATTTTATATTCAAAGAAAATATTACTTGAGTATTCATGACGTCATGGGATGTACCGACAACGATTCTATGGTTGCTTCAACAAAAGGTTGCTAACACATTACAGTAACAGTCTCTTTTTAATCATGAAGATCTTGCTGTTGCTATTTGATCTATTCATATATCAGTGCCCTTTATTTATACAAATCGTCCATATAAAGTATCAACTCCATATCCAACTAAAAATTGCCACTAAAACAAATTTTAAAATGACGCATGAATACTCAAGAGAGTGACATAGTCGACCATAGTAAGGATGGTAACACCGAAGAGCACAATTTTGTCCGAAAAAAAAACCGAACGGACACTCTGAAAAAAGGCTTTATATAACAATATTTCAAACAAAATGACGACTTGATATTTTAAGTCCTTATACTACATGCTATTCCTATTACGTACCTCAACATTCTCCATCATATAAAAAGAAGTGCAAACAGCAGTTAAACCTGAGAAAAGAATATATATAGTTTTAATCGTAATAAATAAATACGATAAACACATCTATCCAAGTCAATGATACACTTCAAATCATTATAAACATTTGAAAAGCAAACTTCTACTTACTCTCCATGTTCGTCAGGATGAGTGTTATCACAATATACTCTTACTTGTGTATAAATGCTCATCCAGAGAGCAAACAGTTTAATCACAGTGTAATCCATATCCACCTATATTCTTATATTTAAAATTAAAGTAAATTCATATGAAATTTAATCTGAAAAATGGGAAATTAAAGGAAACTTCCCGAAAAGACGATAATTTATTAAAATAAAGATGTTCTTCCGTTTTAAGTAAATATTTTACATGTACTATATTATACTAGAAAAATTCTAGCAGATTTGCAGTTCCTAGCAAACACGTTCAAGGTACCCCGTAGTAGACATTTTTATTAATAAATCGGTGCTTGTTTGAAGGTTTTTAATCCGAGATGTTTCCAAAATGCTGCATTTTCTTTATAAATTTTCATTCAAAAGTACAAATTTTAAACGCTTCAGGAAATTTTTCAGTTCAGTTAAAACATTTTTCATAATAAAAGAGACCATTGACAGCTGCTTTATCAATAAAAATGGAACTCGTAAATTAACTTACTTTGTCATTCATCATTTGCAAAATCATTTAGGTAAAATTCATGCTGATTGTACACACAAGTGCTCTAAAGTTGACATCAAAAAATGCTTGTGTTTCTGATTGACAATATCTACGTTGAACAGGGCCAACAATCTTTTGGAATTCCCATGGGTAGCGATTGCGCTCCGTTATTAGTAGACCTATTTTTGTAGTCATATGAAGAAGAGTTTGTGCAAGATCTTCTGCGTGAAAAGAAGAAAACACTTGTGGTGACCTTCAACTTGACAATTAGATATATTGATGAGGTATTGACAATAACAATCATTATGGCAATTTCCATTCCTATTTCGATACGATATATCCTGGTGAGTTTGAGATAAAGGGTACACAAAGCTGGCACATCTGTTTTATATTTAGATTTTTTACTTGTGAAAGACGCTTATTGTAAAATAACAACCAAGATCTATGATAAACGTGATGACTTAAACTTTTCTATCGTCAATTTTCCTTACTTATGCAGCAATATACCTTCATTACCTGCATACGGAGTTTATATATCTCAGTTGTTTCGATATGCAAGACCATGCTCTATGTATGAACAATTTCTAGAACGAGGTAAATTATTGACAAACAGGCTAGTTGATGAAACAAGAATAGTAAGAGTCTCGTTTAAAGTCATCATTTCGTAAGTTTTATGGTCGAAACAATGACATTGTCAGCAAATACAAACACAAAATTTTCAAACTGAATAAACCTCTATGCATTTGACGCTATGTAAGCATTTTATTAGTTTTTATCCCTTCTCCTCTATCTGCAAAGAAATACTCCTGATTTATAATGTTTTCTGGACGAAAGCTAAGGAACACGTTTAAAAATTTGGACATTTCCCAGCTGATCAAATTTGCATAGTTGTTGGGTTTTCTGGATATAAAAACTAGATGAAATTTAATATACGTAAGGATTAAAACTTCCATTCATATTTACGTTACATGTAAATAATTCTTTTATTTTTAATAATAACTTAGCCATTCGAATCAAAAGGTTTCCCCGGGGGAATCATTCTTTACTATCCATTTTCATTAAGATATATCACGGATTGTACTTTCGTATTCCTTTCACCGACATCAGACACATTGTAATATTCCGAATCGGTAAGTCCTTTCTCATAATTTTCATCCTCATTTAAACAGACAGAATACTTGATCTCATCAAAAGTACTCTGAGTATCAGGCAGAACGTCCATATACAGATGCGTTTCTTTGCTGTTCCTTGGTCTGATGTTTCTATTGGAACCTTCTGTAAAGTTAGGAACTACATGTTCAACCATTTGTATATGAGTGGAAACAGGAAGGACAACTCTTCCAAAATGTTTTTTTCTGTTGATAGACACATTTTCTTTTGGAGCATACTTTCTCTTTTGTATTTTCCCTTGAATGGAATCAATAGAATTTCGATCAAAGGAGTATGATTTGATATTTCTTTTAATTGATTTGTAGAAGAAAATCATTACTGTTAACAGAAGGCAAAATAAAACAGCACTCAGTATGTAGACAGCAGCTCGTAAGTTGTCACATTTTAATATCACGTCGCTGTCCAAACTCGTGGAGGTTAAATTCTGGAGATTTTCCGTTGTGTCCCCCACTGAATATGTTGTATTATGCCAAAGAAAGACTTCTGTTTCACTGGTCTGATTTAGCATATTTTCTAATTTCCCTTCAACATCGTGTCAACTGGATTTCATATACTATAATTAAAAAATCAAAATTAATTATTTTCTACAAACATTCATTTATCAAAGTGTTAATATTTATACTCCATTCAAGTAAGACATTAGGTCTGTAAACGAACAAAATATATTTATTTTGAGACAGGTTTTACTTTGATCAAATAATATACTATTATATGTTAACATTTATCAAAAACTATTTTATTTTAACCGTAAAATGTAACTCCCTGCTTATAATTCACTGTTCAATACACTAATATTGATCAATGAATATTTGATTTATCAAATT